GAGGTTCTCTAAAGCAGACCCGCCACCTGCCGAGTGAAAGGGCAAACTGCAGATTGTATGTGCAACGAAGGCACTCAAGTTCTGAAAGACCCCTCATACCAAACTCCAAAGTAATGCAATGTGCGGCGTATTAGCCACACCCGACAAAACTCCGCGACGCAAAAATAGTGACAAATTGTTGAACGCGACAGTATGTCTCTCCAATTCAGTACAACATAGTTCAGTCATTGCACTTGACGTGTCACGATCTTTCCCACCCATCTGACACGACGACGACATGTTTTGGCATGAGTTTCTTGTTTTGTTTTTGTTTTTTTGTAAAAATGTGCGGTGCTGCAACAAATGTTTGCGTGTTGTCAACGATATGATGTTTCCCCCTCGAAGCGAATTCTTGTGTGCAAGAAGACTCACAAAATCAGGAAACTAATTCCCCCTTTTCTCCCCTCTCCCTTCCCACCTCCTCCCTCTTCTTTCTTTATCACCCACCCATTCTTCCCTGTACACATTTGCTCCCCACTTTCCTGCCCTTCCCGCCCTCTGCCAGGGAGAGATGATAGACCGCATAGAGTACAATGTGGAGCACTCGGTAGACTATGTGGAGAGGGCCGTTTCAGACACAAAGAAGGCAGTTAAATACCAGAGTAAAGCTCGGAGGGTGAGTGGCAAGCGCCCAGTGAGCGTGACAAACGACGAGCATGCGGCGTGTGTGGTTGCTGTTGTGTTAGTGACGTCTGCATGCACGGCACGTCGTAGTTTACGCTCTGCATGTGGAGCATGTGTGTACGGTCGTCTTGATGCAAATGTAATGCTCTATCTATGGGCAGCTTCACATCCGCAGGACACATGATTAGGGACTCCTTGCACTTGTTTTCTCAAACAGGCGCAAGCTGTGGGAGAACATGCAAACTCAACACAGGAAGGTCAAAGTCATGGTTGTGAGTGTTGGTCACACCTTCTGTCTCGACTAGTTTGTTTTTCTTCAGGAGAGGTGGTTCCTCGAAAACAAAACTCCAAGCTCCTCCTTAATTAACTATTGGTGTCATTTAATACAAATCTATAAAAAGGTTAAGTCGAAACACCATTTTATTTGCAACATTCTTATGTTATTTAGAACTCAAATACTCAGTGGGCTACTTAATATTTTACATGGATGCAGAAATCGTCCGGAAAGGAATAAGCAGCTGCGTCTAACTACAGTACTGTGGATAAACTCTGCCACCTACTGGTTCCTATCAGAACAGCAACCATCTCTGATAATGACTGTACAGTACTTTAAAAAAACATTTTAAAGACGAATTTTCATCAACCCTTGCAGAAACGACCTAGAAAAGAATGGCTTCGTCATCGCTGCTTGCTCAGCCTGCTGTGCTGTTTCATGAATGAAAACTAAGAATGTTAGTTATAGAGAATTTCCAGTGCCAGAATTTGCCTTCATTTATGTCCATTTACAAAGATGATTTATTATCGTTTCAGTTAAAGTCATCCTTCGCTCAATTTTTGAATTTGCGTATTACAATTTTAGGTTCGGTACCTCTAACAAGGTTCGGAACCTCTAAAGTAACTCTTGTTTTCATACTAATTGTCTTTGTACTGTACCCAACCCGCAAAAAAAATAGGGCTTTATATAATTAATTATATATAGTTAGTTACTATTAACTGCAGTAAAATACGCCGTTGTTCTTGTAAGGATTACTAACTTAATTCTTGTAAGGTTTACTAATTTTGTTTTCTCAAAAATAGGCCGTTTCTTAATTCCTCTGGCATTTAGAGGGTGTATATGGGTCATTCTGTTTAATTGGCGCTAGGTTTATGAGAGGACCCTTGGGAAAATGTCTTTCTTGTGAGCGGAGTGACCCCAAAAGATATGAGAGCTCCTGCTTCATGGCCAAATATTTTTACCATTGTAAAAATGGTTTATCAAGGATTTGTTTTTGTCTTTTTAATAGACCGTACTGGTATTTTTTTTGGAAGGTGGGCCACCATGTCAGCGTAACCTCTGTCACTCTGTCCTTCTGTGTTTGCTCTGAAACATTCCTCAAATGGCATTTCCTCTCTCTGCCCCGTCCCATTCCTCTTCCACGCAGAAGATGATCCTGATCGGAGCTTGTATTGCTGCTTGTTTAAGTGTCCTCGTAATTTGTCTGGCAGTTGGCCTCAGTTAGGACGCGAGAAGGTACTTGCAGAACAATCCAGCCCCTTTGACGTTCATAACCAGGCCCATTTTCTTGTTCACATGCTGTAAACGAACTTTGTGCTTCTTGCAAAGAAAGTGGCCCAACGTATCATGAGACTTCATTGTCCTAATGTTTCAAAAGACAACACAGATTTCCTGCTGCGTGATTCTCACACCTGCAACATGTCCGCAACACACACGACTCCTGCAGAGCTTTTGCATGTTTTCCCCTCTCCCAACACAAATGCACAAAAAACACGCTTAACGGGGACATTATTTTGAAAATGTACTTGTTCTTGTTTGTACAGTCTACACACAATTTTGCGCCTTAACAGCGCCAAGTGTGAAATTAAGCAGTTGAGTAAGTCTGCCTATTTTCGGAAAATGCATGTTGTTAAATTATGCATTGGTGGCTTGGCGCTAGGGGTTGAACTGATTGTCACAGAGCATGGAGGAGCAGAGTTGCTGGCCTCGATAGCCTCTCTCGCTTTGGCTGTTCCGAAAATATCAATGAGGTCATCGATTAATCTTCATTTTATTTTCATCATGTTGAAAACTACTTTTTTTTTTGGTTAATGTTTTACCCTACTTCGCCAACACAGTACCAATGGACAGTCTGGATGTGAAGCCCAATGATTTCCTGAACATTTACACTTCATAAAGTCGCTAGATTTGTTTCTCAATGCTTCATTGAAACTATGGTGTCCAACTCAAGGCCCGGGGCCAAATCTGGCACGCCACATCATTTTATGTGGACCGCAAAAGCAAATCAAGCATGTTAACTTCTATGATGATTGCTAAAATCTGTACCAAAATTTCTTCTTCTCATATTGTAATAAATGAGCAAGATATTGTCAGCATTTTCTTGTGAACGAACCCCTCATTACAGCAGCTTCGTCGCATGCTCCAGTTCAGCCCCTGGTCGTCATGGTAACCAAAGCCATAAATTCATGAAAATGTCAGGTTTCATTGTTTTTCACGAGACCAAGTCATATGTGTTTAATTTGCCTGACGTTTTGCGCAACAAATGAGAAGCTGAGTTTTTGATGCTGCTGAATTGCGATGGAACGAAAACCCAATTAAATTCGTAATAATATGCCAGATTGCACGTTTTTTTTTTTCCCAATATCATGCAGCCCTAACTTTAAATAGATTAGAGTTGTAATGTATGGCATCTTTGAGTATCATTTAATTGTCTTGAAGCCGCACCAAGTGTTCTCTTTTTTTGAAACCAGTATGTAGTCACCCTACAGCTGGTGGAATACAATGTGGCCTTGTGCAACACAGGCAGTGATTCGGTGCCCCAGTATTTTTGCTGCTGGGAACTAGGGTAGCATGTGTGTTTTGAACAAGTTTCTAACATGTTGTCTTCTGCTCCCTACTTGCTGCCCTGGACGACTGATGCTCTCTTGTCTTCTTTCCCCCATTAAACAGAAGAAAATAATCATTATTATATGCTGTGTGATTCTGGGAATTATCATTGCGTCAGCTGTGGGAGGTACCCTGGCATAAACCTGTGCCGCCACCACACACACACACACACACACACACACACACACACACACACACACACACACACACACACAAACACACACCAATAACAAACAGACAC